GGTAGATCTTTAGTCAACCATAAGGTCTGAAGAGGACAGCAACCATAATGCTGGTCTAAATACACTGATATCCAATCAAAGCGCACATTAGTATTACCTTTAATCTATTTGAAACGAGTATCTCAGAGAACTGACAGCAGTAGGAACAATTAGGTCGGATTGCCCCTTGTTAGCAAAACAATGTCATGCATCACGTAACACCCTACGAACTCAGGCCTTTTTCCATTAGTTTCATAAAATACAACTTTACAGGGACGTTTCTTTCAAGAACCAATTGGAGTGCGGCTTATTGGTCAAATGGGCCTTTGAGAGTCTGTAGATTTAAGTCTGAGTTCCAGAACGCAGTGAAATGCACCATGTATTACCGGGAACTACAGGAAGCCTCAAACAGTTTCAATTGTCAAAATTGACACTAAATCCAGACCTAACACTATCCCTGAACATTTCATTCTTATCCTTATATTTGTTGAACTAATCCTTGCCTTACGAAATACAATCAGAAAGGTTAGAGTCCCTCTTAGTTGATCCGGTGGAAACTTGCGAGCGAGAGTATTTGAATAAATTGGTTGCAACATATGTTTCATAGCTATTCCAAAATTATTTTATTTCATTCTACGAAGGAATCTGACAATTTGTCATCGTATAATTATTTCCCCCTCAAAAAGGAAGTTTAAATCAACGTTAGTCACGTTCGTCGATGAAATCAAAGCCTTCGTAAAAAGTAAAACTGGCAAGTTGAACGTCTTGCTCGTCTTCGCGAAAAGGTCATCCCTAAAAAGTTGTTGCAATCCACTTTAGAATCTCGTCTTTCATTTCCTCGAAGAGTTATTTTTGTTCAAACAAAACGTCGGTTACTCCCGCTAACGTTTAATTCTCATGAACTCGCACGTACTCAAAGAAAGGTCGGCCTTAAAAAATTGTTGTTATCCAGTTAGGTATAAGATCCTTCCAAAAAAACTCAAGTTTCCCTCGCTTACGTTTAAGAGTGGAAACTTTACGTTAAAATCCTAGGGTATATTTTTGTGCAATTTTAACTGCGTTTGGAAACGTTTTGAACATGACCTACTAAGAATTCGCCGAAACGGTAATTAATTTAACGGGTCACTTTTGACGATCATTCCAGAAAAAAAACAATATAATAAGTGTTGTCTCTGACGATAGCTGAGGTACTTGACGCTCACGACTTGCAGAGGCATTAATGCATTGAACATGTGCCCACGCAACTCCGTCAAGCTTCTTATAACTCAGTAGAGAGTTCCAGAAAAAAAATAATATAATAAGTGTTGTCTCTGACGATAGCTGAGGTACTTGACGCTCACGACTTGCAGAGGCATTGATGCATTGGACATGTGCCCGCGCAACTCCGTCAAGCTTCTTATAACTCAGTAGAGAGTTGAGTCCTATCAGTTTTGACAAAACCTTGTCATCATCCATTTTTTGGCAGCGTTTCTGAGTGATACTGCATGCAACACCAAAAGAATTACAATGAGAGGTATTAAACAAGGAACAGGTATGTGAAATCTGGCTCTTTGATGAAGAATTGGCATCTCAAGGAGACTTTCGTCCACAACTGAAGCAGTGATTAGATGCAATGCTTACTTTTTGAAATATGAGATTGTTTGCAAATCTATGTCATTTAAAACTAATTTCTAACCCATGGTATGCGACTCTTAATCTTGCAAATAGGAAAAACTTTCCAAAAGTTCACTCTGTATTATCAAACGTAAAAAGAACAGAGGTCGAACTCTAAACGTTTTGGAATGTCTTTCGATGGTGGCTTTGAATAAAGAATAGTTAGATTGTCTGACACAGTGGAACAGTCGTGGTGGCCTATGCGGTCCTATAATTTTCGTTTTCCGAGCTCAGCACAATTCTATTTTCCAGCTCGATCGCACATTCGTTCTATCCAAAAGATACTTTCAGTTTTAAGTCTGTTTCTACCTTTGGAATGGCAACTCAATGTCTAGTCAATGTCAAGATGGAAAACTATAATCAGTTTTTGAAAATGACTTTCCTATGTATTAGGCTGATTCGTGGAATTTCGTCCGGTCTAAGATTTAAGTCCTTTCCATCTAGCAGTCCTTTGTTCCTTCAAACTTTACTTGCGTTCATGTTGATTCTGAAAACATGCTGATGATTATGGTCCTGAAATCGTTGCGTTGCTTTTCGTACGGGAACGGCAAAGCGTGAAGTTTATCTGGTACAGTAAGATGTAAGGATTCTCTAACGGAATTTCGCTAGAGAAAAAGTCTTCAGGCACCTTCTCCTCCTTTCTTTAAATATTGCTCTCTGCCGCCTTTTCTTGTCTCTCCAAAGAATTAATGCACTTATTCTGATCCTCAAGCTGATCTGGGTCAAAATTTTGGCGACGGCTTTTCTCAACAAACTTGAATGTTGATCTGGCTTAAAAGATGAAACAGAAACGTTAAACTGCCACGCTGATAAATGCGGTCATATATCTTGATATTTTTTTGTATGTGAGGTGCATGAATAATACTTTCCCTAGGCGCAGGGAAACAGGAGAAATTCCGTTTTTTCATTAATGAACAAAATCTAGTTGTTGCAGATCCCCGGTTTAAGGAAATTGACGAAGGATTTTCTGATCTTTAGTTAGGCCAAGCAAGTGTTCCGAATCATTGAAGTTTCCCCGCATTGAATGTTCAGTCAGGTAATTTACAATTAATCGCCCAACGGAGTGAAAATTGACCACTCCGAAAGAAAACTTATCGCCAAAGTAACGTTAAAAGTGAAATTTATCGTCACCGAATCCCAACTTAAAAGACTGAAAATTTCACGATTTGATTCTTCGATTTAACTTTATGCGTATCAGTACTTCGTAGGAATGACTCTGAATTAAATTCTTTCCACGTGGAATCGATTGGAAGCTTGATTCAGAGGTTATGTTAAAGAAAAGAAAACGCACAAGAAGCAACGGGAACCTCCCAATGTGAAAAAAAACGACAAGTACTCAGTAAGACAAACATCCCATTTCTCTTTCACATCCCATGAAAGTTGATTCGGTTTTGAAGAAAAAAGATGCGGCGACTTCATGACCACAAATCCCATATTTAGTGGCAACATAAAGATAAGTGATATAAAAAGACATTCCACGTGCCTTAGGGTTTTGTATTCTCAAAAAAAGGTATAGCCACAACAGAAAGAAATGCCGGTAACCTTCAAAATTTTGGGATGACAGGCAAAGCTTTCCACGAGATTCCTTCGCTCTCCCAGAACTCTTATTTGCAATTAAAAGTTCATTTATGAAATCCGTTCGATCCGTTCCTCCGTTCGCTACCACGCAGCAAAACTATTTGTGAATATGTTGACCGCTTCTGGATAGGATTGAAGTTTAAATGCTGAAGCAAATAGTCGTCTCGGTAAGTTGGTAACTCGTATTTCGTAAACTCAGAGCTTGAAGTTGACTTCAGGTTCTTATAAACGAAGGCTGTCTTCGATCACTTCCTTTGCTCGGTTCTACCAAACAAAACACGCGATCAGTTATAATGTGAGGACGTTTCCGCTGGAACACAAAAACAATGCAATGTTTCTTTTGGAAGTATTATTCCTTGTGGCTTTGAACGTTTCTTGGATTCGAAATAACTGCATTTTGTGGATATTTAGAGATCGGAAGCAGAATTGACTTCTGGTCGTTTGCAATTGAAAAATTTGAGTACAACAAATTTAATGAGCTCACAAAACAATACCGAGAAGCGGAGAATCAAATAAAGTTGTTTTTCCATTTGCGCTTGATGGCTGTGAGACGGTAAATAGGCACTTTGTGTTAGATGAATAATGGTTAATTATTATACTCTCGCAGTTCCCCTTGCTTTACACACGATTGTCATTGGCTGATAGTGAACACATGACCCTGCATAAATTTAGATGCCGATCGGAATACATTTGTGAAGCATGATCAGTGTTTAGGTTTTGCACGTGATCAGAGCGTGGCTGAGGTGGGTGGTGTGATTGTGGCGTGATATTTTTAAGTGTTCTTATCTGGAACTTCCTTTCTATTTTAAAAAATAATGACTCGTAAGTTGCTCACGGATTATTCGTGAAAACATTATAGAGAAGCCTGTGGCTGAAAAAAGCAGCTTTTGTTTACTTCATAAAAAGACGAAATAGAAAACTGGTGTAGGAGAAGGCCTCCAAAATATGGCTCTTCAAAGGAACATCTTGAGTGTTACGAAGAAAAACAAGTTATACTGTTATAAACGCACAACTTTTGGTCTTTTTACTTTATACAATTTCCGAATCAAAAGCACTCATTAATTGTTAAGTTCTCTCGGTTGTTCAATTCATTCTTTAAAGTGCGTAGCACTGATCATAAAATATTTAAGCTGGAATGACTTCTCACCGCTCAATGACTTCTTCTCTTCAGGTTCAGCTCTACTGCTTTTGGCACTTTTTGCGAATTCTCAGTATATACCATCAACAAGTGCAGTCCCAATAGATTGCCAGAAGAACACTGCTGTCTGCTTAGAAGAAATCATGAAGGAACTGACCCAACTTCGATTTGAGTTTAAAATTCTCACAGAGAACAGAACATTGGTGCGATGTACGTTTACTCTTTTTTTAAATTGTACTGGTTATTCCATTTTATCTTTATCATTATACAGTGTATCACGAAAAAGGTAGTCTTATGCATGGCGATTTCCATTTATTTTCAGAGGAATCATTTTAGCGAATCTAGATGACAAAATTTTCAACATGCTTGGAGCTCTTATCTTTGACAACTCTCTGTTCAAGCTGCTGTGTAGCTGAACATTGACAACAGAATAATTTTTTTGGTCATTTGTCGAGTTTTTTCAAAATCATTTTTATTCTCATCTTATGATTTGATGCGCTTTTAAAAGATAAAAGATATATGAAGAATCCAAGTCCCGTAGTCTTTTCTCCAAGACAGATACTTTGTCAGATGATATAAGCACATTCATACCAACCCCCTCTTTGAGAGCATGCCCAAAACGTCAAGCATCTTTATTTTATCTATAACAGCTAGGAACTGTGCTGAGCTGTACAAATCTGGACGAAGGATTAGTGGTGTTTACACAATCGACCCGGATGGTTCAGGCGCCTTTAATGTATATTGTGACCAAACTACAGCCAACGGGGGATGGACGGTGATCCAGAAGAGAATGGATGGCTCCGTTGATTTTAACCGCACCTGGAACGAATACAAACATGGCTTCGGTAACTTGGTCGGTGAGTTTTGGCTCGGACTGGACAAGATAAACCGCCTGACTCGAAACAAGACAAAGAACAAGCTTCGGGTAGATCTGGGGGTAACTACTGGCAAAACTGTACACCCTGAGTATGACTGGTTTGGGATTGGGAACGAGACAGCTAAGTATCGGCTATACATTGGCAATATTACAAGTAAGTTAACGGTGTTTTTTTTTTCGGCATTTATCATTCGATTTATATATATTAATTCACTCTCATTTAAATCTCAATATTTTACTCTACTTGGTCGAATAATGGTATTATAAGTTGGCAAGGTAGTCCTGAGGTAAACCTGAATGTCTGATTGGTTCTTATTCGATCTGGAGTTAGGTCTTTGTGCCACGTAAGGAACTCACTTCTTACTAACCTTCATTTTTTCCTTTATTTCCTTTTATGCGGAAAACAACAAATTATTCGCGGGAAAAAGGCGTTATACGGATCCTAGAATTATGCGAATTTCTTTTGTTCTGTTTTGAAACAGATGCCACCGTTTTCTCTGATTCCCTCAGTCCCCACAGGAATCTCGTTTTTGGTACCTGGGATAGAGATCCTGTTGATTGTGCTCAAAGAGGTGGCAGAGGCTGGTGGTATGGCAACGGTATTAAATGTGCTGTTTTTTCAAATCTCAATGGTATTTATCCGCGTTGTGGAAGGAACACTTCTGCAAAGATTCACTGGGCAGAGTTAGATCGAACCAGTGCCGAAGGCAGCGCTCCTTCATCAACTGAAATGAAAATTAGACCGGTGGACTTTTAAAAACTTTCTTAGAGATAAGTACACAGCACATAAGTAGATAGTGATTTTTCAACGTGCTCTGATGATATCCACCTCTGAGCAGCTAAGGCGACGAAATCGCGCGTCAAAGTTTAATTTAGGTTATGAATTGGTATATTGTCAGAAACAAACAATGTTTTTGGTTTCTTTGTAGTAAAAATTCCAATATTGGCTTTTGGTAAATACGCCCCATTGCAAACATGACCCCCCCTACCTTCTTCACGGGTTCGTCAGAAAACGTAAAACAAGTTCGCCTGCGTATTTACCAGTTCTGCCCCAAATCTTTCGACTCGTTTCCTACCACAGATTGTGTTAAAGTTTTGTCAAAATCAAAATATTTTGGCGACTAACATGCAACATGTCCCCTGAATATCTACAACCTCCATTTATATCTCGAAATGTTATTACTTCGTATTGACTGCAGAATCCTGCGTACAAATTGGCTATTCTAACACCGAAACCAGCTATTTGAAGAGGAGTTTTTCCTTTAGGTGTGCCATGCTGTGGAACAGACTTTCGCAAGAACTCTGCTCAACAGTTTCTTTAAGCGAATTAAAAACTACGTCATTATAGCTTTTAAATGAGACACAGTATCTTAGAAAAACAGCTTTCATGATATAATGGGTTTTTAAACTTTTAATGCTGTATTAATCATTAGTAAGTAAGCAGAATTTTTATATTTTATACTCCTAGATTGTGTTGAAGAATTTTACCGTGTAGAAATAAAGTTGTCTATAAATCTTTCTATCTATCTGACAAGCGCTGCCCTTTCACGTGTTAACGTGGAAAGTTATCGAGATAAACAACAACACTGAAGTGGATTCATTTTCCATTTTTTTCGAGTAAATTTGCAAATCAGCGTCCGAGTGCAAATTTTTACTTTGCTTTACCTATATAGGAAAAGATTATGAGCGATTTTTGAGTAAAAAGAGGACGATGTTCGATTCCGAAGCTAGATTTCAACGTACACGCGGTTTCTTCTTGCATTTGTGAAAGAATCGCTGCCAGAAACAACTAACTTTAATTTAACTGCTTCGCAGCATGCGCACCGTTTGCAAAGAGACCGAAAGTTGAAGGCAGACAATCCTCTTGGCCCAAGTCCATTAAGATAGTGCACCTGGTCTTCTAAGAGAGCGTTAGCGGGCGGCACAATAAATATAGTGACCAGTTTATTCCAGTGAAGCGAGGCGATCGATCACTGGCGCTGCTTGATATATTAAAGATTTTCCATAGCCATTTGATAACGAAACGGAGACACCTTTACCTTCGAAAAACATATCTCCCTTAGTGTCATCAATTGCAAAATGCTTCCATTCCATAGAAAAAATTTCCGGAAATTCCTGTAGAAAATCGAATGGACAAGAAAGTTTCCGGACGGTAGAAAGCTATTTTGGATACAATGTACGCCATGAAGGGATTACTGGACCCTTGACCAACCTTTTATGTTAATGATAATCTTTGATAAAATACCAGGACCCCTTTGTTCAAAGGGCAGATAATGCTATCCAACGGATAAATCGTTATTAAGCGCTTAAGTGTTAACAAAACTTACAGTGTTATCCACCGGAGACAGATTTATCCAGTGGATAGCGTTAATCACCCTTCGAACAACCGGAGCCAGAAACTCTGTCTTTGGCCATTAAAAGTTCACATTGATGGAAACAGATGATTTGTTTTTATGTTTTGTACGTGCGTGTGTTTTTAACGGAAGTGAAAACAGCCTCAAATCGCCAATACTTTTGAAAGCAATTCATATGATTTTTTCCACTATCCAAAGTATGATGATTGCATTTGACCAATCATCAGCTATCAATTAACATGTCGAAACCACCGGATATGGTACGCTGACATTTTGACGTTGGGCAAAACCGATTATCGCCGTAAAAATTAAAGAAACGTTATGTATTGAAAACCAAAGCCAGCTTTTGAAACCAAAGGGTAACAGTGGGAAGCTGGAGCTCAACTTTTTAACGATAAATAGTATATACTGAAACAGCGGATTACGTCTAAGGCGCGGTCTGATTGGCTACACAAATTCCGAATATGCTTTGGTGTTTACCTCCGAGCAATGCGCGCAGGATTTTCGCCCGAAAATGTAATAGTTGTTTTAAGATTAAATGAGTCAAAATCATACTTAAGCGCGTATATTATTTCACTATTTTAGTTTATAATAAATCAATTATTTACCTCGCTACAGCAGCTCGCTACAACTGTAAATAGGGACCTTTCGTAAACCACGACGGCGACGGCAATGAGGACGAGGTAAACAAAAGATTTAATGAGCAGAACAATAACTCAGTGCCTACGTTTGAAGACCGTGTGTATTTCTCAGCCGTCCTCGGTAAAATAGGGACCTTAAGCAAACCACGACGGCGACAGCAACGAAGACATGGAAAAACAAAAGATCTAATCGGCAGAGCAATAGCTCAGCACGTGCTTTTAAAAACTTTGTACATTTCTTAGCTGTCCTACGCAAAACAACAACATGAAATCACCACAATTTGCTTCGTCTGCAAACCGAAACCGCTACAGCAATTATTTTAATTTCCATTTGAAACTCGAAGCTTCTTTTACACGTTATGCTGAAGTTGAAGTGTGGCGCCGTATGAGACGGTAAAAAAATGCAGCCATTTTCGAAATTCTAATTAAAGGCAGAAATTAATTTTTTGATCAAAGTCTTCATTGGCGTAACATTACTTCCTTACCAACATTGTTTCTAAAGATTAAAATTTACTTGGAAGGTAAGTCTTTGTTTAATTGAGTGGTTTCGCTTTAATTAACGGTTCGATGTAAGGGAAAGATAATAAATCAAGGGATGACCATAACCGCTCAATACAGGACCACTCTACGGAGCACTGTATGTTCATTGTGCTAGGTATCACTGCAATTCGCGAGGAATTCGTGGTGGTGTTATCTGCATTGAAAACTGCTTGATAAGGACGGAATCAGAATATTGTGATAGCATGCCTAATATTTCTTGACTCAGCGATATTGCATGGTATACCTCTGTAGCAGTATCCCATTAGAAGGTATATATAACATTAATAATCATAATATTTCGAATAATCTGCTCGGAAATCTGCCACGTTCCCTGAGGCCACAATGTGATATTCAATGTGAATAATAAACCTTCTATTTTTTTGGGTCAACAATTTGTCGATATAGACCAGAACTCTGAGATAAAATGCTGTGAAGGACAACAGCTTCTATTGGAGAACAATACACATCTTCCATACACGGAAAAAATAAGAGTGCTTGCATATTGAATGTTACTTCTCTGAAATATTCTTGCAGATCCTGCGCTCCTGGTTATTACGGCCTAAAAAGGGGAGCGTCTCGAGGACTAGTTGTGGCATATCTTATTCACTGCCTTCGATGTCCATTTAGAGCCACCTGCATTGAAAACAACATTGCAGCAAAGCCAAATTTTTGGGGCTATCCAACGTCCACACATCCACGGTCGCTAGAGTTTTTGGCCAGTCCGGAAGATTACTGTCCTTCAATTGCAACAACATATTACAACAGTTGCCAGGGGACCCTCTGGGGACAATGAGCAAAAGGTTTCACCGAAACCCTTTTCTCGACTGAATGCCGCAATTCAACAGAATGCGGCAACTACACTGTGTGGATCGTGACAATGGTGCTAACAATCACACTGGCGCTCTATCTATTGATAAAGCCTCCGCTACTTATCATCCTTAGAAACCAAATATTTTGGTTTATCAACTTAAAACAGAATCAGGAAGAAGACAACTTAAACACCATCGACGAAGGTGAACATCCCGACAGTGGCTATCTAAAAATAACATTTTATTTCTATCAAGCGGCTGAGACTGTAATGGTTGGTGCGATGGATAAACTTATTGGAAAGATACCTTTCATTCACTTTGTAATTTCTGCCTATAACTTCCATGTTCAATCGGTCAATGAAAGTCTTGGCTGTTCATTTGCGGGACTCACTGCAGTAACCAAAGAGCTTCTCCTCTCTGGTACACTGTTTTTGACGATGGCCCTTTCTTCATTTATGGCGTGGATCATGTTGTTAATGTCGTTATGGGCAAGGAAAAGTCGTCCCTTATCCATTATATGGCCGTTGTCATGGGAGTGTTGTTTCTTGGATACGAAAGCCTTGCAGAAACGGCTTTAAAGCTAATGAACTGTGTCTCCATTGGATCTGGAAAGTGGTTGTTCATCGATGTCAATGTTCCTTGCATGCAACGGTGGCTATATCTTCTCCTTGCTTACATCGCAATATTTTTAATCCCCTTCATCATTGTCCTTGAGTACGGATCCTACCAGCTCCAAAGATCTTCCACAACATGAGCTGAGTTTATAGCAGCCTGCATGATCCCTCTGCCGTTTCTTATCTATTGGTTTATAAAGAAATTATCGAAGACGCCAATGCAAGAGTCTACCAGAGGGCAAGTCGTCAACCGCGATGTTTTGGAAATACTCCATGGTCCTTTCAGACCTCCAAGTGGTAATGACGAAGGAACGCTATATTGGGAGAGTGTGCTAATTGGCCGAAGGTTCATTCTGCTCGTGTTTAAAGTGTTCATCGCAGATATGATGTTGCGTATGGTTTCCATGGCCACAGCATGCCTGCTGATAACACTTCACCATATTTCAAGGAATCCTTATCATAGTCCTCTGGCAAATAAAGCGGAGACTTGTTCTCTCGCAGCATTAACCGTGATGTCCTTCATCAATTTGGCCAAAGCAACCTTAATTTCGTTCGGCATTACCATCAGCGAGCCAGGAAATCCTACATGACAGCATTGGAATGGCTAGAATTTAGCTTCTTGGCATTCACTCCTTTTGGTCGCATTTGCTGTCTTATCTCAGCTGGTAAGGTTGTTACGTTTCCTTACCAATCGACTTCGTTACTGCTTCTCGATTATTTGTTTCTGTCCTGTCTCTTCTACATGTTGCTGAACAGCACTAACACCGATGATGAAAACAAGGCATTGATAAATATTTTC